AGAGAGAGAGAGAGAGAGAGAGAGAGAGAGAGAGAGAGAACTGCTATGGAGATGCCAGGTCAGGTATGCTAAATCTTTTCCAGTAAGCCATGACCTCATGGTAAGCATAGATTAATAGAAATGGGTTATATCAAGATGTAAGAGTTAGCTAATAGGAGGCTAGAGCTAATTGCCAAGCAGTGTTTTAATTAATACAGTTTCTGTGTGATTATTTTGGGTATAAGCTAGCTGAGCGGCTGGGACAATCAAAGGGACCTCTCTCCTTGCAACAGAGGTTTAGTCCATTATCATCATGGTGGGAAGCTTGGTGGCATGCAGGTAGGCTTGGTGGTAGAGAAGGACTGAGAATTCTATATCTTTATCCACTGGCAATAGGAAGTGAACTGAGGTCTTGGGCATGGCTTGGACATACCAGAGACCTCACAGCCTGCCTTCACAGTGACAGCTTCCTCCAGTAAGGTTACATCTGCTCCAACAAAGTGATACCTCCCAGTAGTGACACTTCCTATGAGCTTATGGGAGCTGCTTACATTTAAACTACTTACTACATTCTCTAATCTTTATTTCAGAAATATTTTATACATATGAATATGATGCCAGGCATGGTGGCACACACCTTTAATCCCAGCACTTGGCAGGCAGAGGCAGATGGATGTCTATGAGTTTGAGTTCAGCCTGGTCTATCGAGTGACTTCCTAGACAACCATGTTATATTTTGTTGTTGTTTGTTTTGTTTTTTGAGACAGGGCTTCTCTGTAGCCTCAGCTGTCTTGAAACTCGATATGTAGACCAGGCCGGCCTCAAATTCACAGAGATCCACCTGCATCTGCCTCCCCATTGCTGATACTAAAGGCATGTGTCACCACCACCCGGTTTTACAAAATGTTTTAGAATGAGCATTTTAATGATTTTCATTAGTATAATTTAATTACTTCATTACATTTATTTATTGTGTATATGAGATCTGAAGACATTTTTTGAGACTTACCTCTCTCCTTTTGTCATTTGTGTCTCAGGACCCAACATAGATTTATAGGCTTTGTTGCAAGAGCCTTTAAGCCCCAACCACCTTCAGGGCCTGCCTGCGTTTTATATCCTTGATGCCTTTTGTCAAATCTATTCTTTCAAATGCATAGAAAATTTTTAGTATCTAATGGGAGCAAACAAGTGCTTCGGAGGAATGATTCCCATCCTAAAGTATCAAAACTGTTGAAATGATTAAAACTCAAAACTATTTTCTATTATTTCAATACGATTTATGTTATTCCTAATTATCAGGAGTAAACAGCATTTCCGCCTCTGCTTCCTTCGTTCCTTTCTGCTGCACGGACAGGTGGGGCCAGCTCTTCACCACTGAGTCCCAGCCACAGCACACCCTTTAGATCCTCACTCCGCCTGTCTCCTTTGTCTCTGGATGGCATTGCCATTTCCTTAATGTGAAGCTAGAATCTCTGTACTAGATTTTTTCTTTGGGGTCACCAACCAGCTCATAAATCATGATACAGAACCTTATTAGTTTTGAATGCTCAGCCTAGTTTAACCAAGTTTCTGGCTAGCAACTTTTACTTAAATTAACCTATTTCTTGCTATCTACCTCTACCTTGGAAATTTTTCACCTTTTCTTGTTTTCTTCCTGTTGTTGTGTCTGGCTGGCCTACAGCTGCCTGGCTTTTTGGCCCATGGATGTCCATTATTAACTCCTCCTTCTCTCATTCTTCTCCTCTTAAAGCCGAGCTTTCTCCTCCCATTTATTCTCTGCCTTCCAGCCCTGTTTGCCTTTTCTCTGCTTAGTTGTTGGCCATCCCAGCTTTTTATTAGACCGATCAGGAGCCACAGGAAGGGAAGGTCAAACAAACACATCTTTACATAATTTAACAAATGCAGCACAAACAAAAGTAACACATCTTTGCACAGTTAAAGCAATATTCTACAGCATAAACAAGACTCATACATCTTTGCCTAGTTAAAACAGTATTCCTAAACAAATCTGTGAACTTATAGAATTCATTTATAGTCATTAATTAAGAGTTGATTTTAGTGACCAGAGAGATACTGAGTTTTCTTTACTAGGCCAAACTTTTTCCCTAGTTGTGTGCTCTCTCTGCTCATTACGTTTACTGCCAGGCAACTTGGCTTTTCCTCATTCAAACATTGTTGCTTGCTTGCTGTCTGTCTTCAGAGTAGAATTTCTGCTGTTTCTGGGTGAGGCTGTGCACACTTTGTGTCTCTGTGTACTCAGCACTTTCCTGTGGGGTGGCCCTGTCACTTATCTGTATGTTCTGCATGAACCCCTGAGGTTGTCTCTGTTGAGCAATACTCTGTCTCCCTGTCCTTAAATGTCCCACAGGGCTTCATACAGGAAGTCCAGACACTTGTGATGGGATAATCCAAGCGTTTCTCCTGGCCAGTTTCTTTATCTAAATTCCTGTGACACTCTGAATTTACCACAAACATTCTGAAGGAATGAAATATAATCACTTTTGCAAAATATGCTAGGGAAAGAGAAGAAAGCAAGCAGGAATTTATTTTACCTTTGGAAGAGGCTTTGCAGGTCTGCAATGGAGTCCTCCAACGTATTCAAAGTTTGGTAAGACAGGGTGAGGAAATTCCAAATCCCAGTAGGTTCGAATGAGCCATATATCTGCCTTCCCCATCATCTCAGAGAGGGTCGTGGGTCTTCCTGAAGAGGAATCAGAAAAGTGAAGGTAGAACAGGTGACAAAATTGTCAGGTGGAGATGGACATGGCAGGTAGTCTTTTGAAAGTACTTTTGATAATGTAGCCAAAGTTGTTTACAAGTGTGTGTGTGTGAGATTTTGGAGAAGATAACATATGTGTAACACACCTTGGATATTCGTGATTACTAGATATCTAGATATGGCATTTAAATATAATTAATGCCATTTTGTCTATAAATCCCATTTGTCATACTCGGGGAAATGCTGCCTTGGAACTGGTTTATCCTGTTTTAGCTGCTGGAACCTTGATGTGTGGTTCTCTAAGGGAGCTGAGAATTTTGTGCTGTTTTATTTTGTTTTGACATACGTATTCTGATGGAGCACAGGGTGGTCCCAGTGTCATTGTGTAGCCAAAACTGACCTTGAACTCCAGATCCTCTTCCTTCACAGCTCAATGGTGATTACAGATGTGTGTTGACATGCCCAGTGTAAACATCTATGGGGATTCTGTTTCAGAATTTCAGTTTGAGACAGAGTCTCACTGGATTGTCCTGGCTGACTTCCAAGAGAAGTTTGATTATGCCTGCATCCCTTATCCTGGTACTACTCTTAAATTATGACTGAGTGCATGTATACCTATGTTTGCAAATAATAAGCAAAGGGAAATCATAGATTATGGAATGAGACATCTATTCACTACAATTTTTCCATTAATAAAGAAACCATTTAAAACTCTATAGTTAACAATTTCCATGTTCACACTTGAACATTTTAGTGTTTTAAAAGGTATTTACTTAATTGCACTTGTGCGTGTGTGTGTGTATGTGTGTGTGTGTTTATGTGCATGTGCGTGTACATGTGTATGTGTGTAGAGCTCACAGGACAGAGGACATTTGTAAGAAGTCATTTTTTCCTTTCATTCCTTATGCCTGTGAATGGGTTTAAGATCTTCAGGTTTTGGTAAGGATGTGCCTTTACCTAGTGAGCATTTTCTGGCACCATTAAAGGCTTAAAAGAGAAGAATTTTAGACACCGGATGACTGAACTTGGATTCTCTAAAATTTTTCATTCATAAACTTGCTGTGTCTGAGACAGAGATGGTGTGTGTCACAATTGTGAAAAAACTCATTATGTAAAGTCAGAAAGTTTTCAAATTTTAAATAAAATAACTAATTATTTTTGAAGTGATAAGTTCTCCATGCTGTATAGCATGGTAGAAATGTCTGCTAATCCCCAATCTATATGTCTGTTGCTTGAGAAGACATTGAATGAGTTTAGAATAATTATTTTAGGGGTCAGCCAGATGGCCCAATGGGTTAAAGCAGTTGCTATGCAAGGTGTCAAGCATGCTTCCATCCTCAGAATATGTGTAAGCGTGTAAAGAGAATAGACTCCAAGGTGTCCACAAATTCCACATGTGTGCGTTGAGAGATAGTCCCCCAACCAATGCACAAATAGATAATAATGATACTAATGATGGTTATGACTATAAGGATACATCCCACTCAGATAAAACTGTCCTAAAAATATGAGATAAAACAGTAAATGCTTATGTACTTGTTTAAAAAGTCCACAAAGCATTGCTTGGTGAGTAGGTACCATTCTTAAGTGTCTTCGCAAGTCATAGACAAGGCTTTCTATTTACCATTGGGACATAGGTTTTATACAGTTTTGAATTAGGCAGATAATTTCACAGGTTTTTTACATTTTTGCGTTTTACGACTGTCTATCCTGTTGTTTAAGTTCACCTTCAATGACACAGCAAATTTTGAATACAACAATCCCAGATGAGCATGGCACTTACCCAAGACTTCACTGTAAAACTGATTCCACCTCTTCTCATTAAACATTTGTAACCAAAAGTCAAAAGAAAGCACATAGATTAGATTTTGTACCCTCTCCATGAATGTCATTCGATCACTCAATTCTGACAAAGCAACAGGCACATAGGAAGGAGGTAGTGGCAGTCCTCCACTGTACTTTTCATACTTGAAGCCAGGAAAGAATCGGAGACTGTACACCAGAGGTATCTTGAAAATCTCAGCCAGCAGTTCACCGCAGGGTAAGAATGGATCTGCTACCAGGACATCAAATCTTGAATTATGTAGTTTTGTCATAAGTTCCTTGTTTAAAACTGCATCTTTGCAGAAATGCTCAAAATAGTCTGACTCGAACAAAAACAGTTCTTGCAACATTACAAAGTATCCCCAAAATGATTGCTTTGGCAGCTCATAAATGTGTTTATCGAAGGCTTCTTTGAAAAATTCTTCTGCATCAGTCCTGGAAAATGATGCAGGATATGTTTCAAATTCAATAGCAGATGTGTTGTCAACGTCATAAGAAAAGTAAACTGAAGGTCTCAGAACAGTCACTTCATGACCCTTCTTCACAAGCTCTTCTAGGATTATCCTTAGGTTGAGCCAATGGCTGAATTCCACTGGCCACACCAGTACCTTCCCAGCACTCCCAGATCCAAAGAAGCTACTTAGCTGTAGCAGGAGCAGGGCTGCTGTAATTTTCATAGACATCTTGGTTAAGTTCAGAGTTGCTTTCAAATGGTGATTTCTTGACTCTTATAGATATAGAAAGAGTAATACTTAGTTAAAGTATAACTTGTACCCACCAAAGCAAATACACATGAGATAGTCACAGTCTCTGGATGCCAAGTGCAAAATCCAGAAGGCAGATGTGATCATGTGAAATGACTCCCGATTCTCAGTGACCTTGAATGAGTAATTTGTCTTTGATATGCTAGAGATTTTAAAATATTTTTTCTTAGAATAGTGAAAATGAACTTATGCTGGCAGTGGTGGCACATGCCTTTAATCCCAGCACTAGGGAAGCAGAGGCAGGCAGATTTCTGAGTTGAATGTCAACCTGGTCTACAAAGGAGTTCCAGGACATCCAGAGCTAACCAGAGAAATTTGAAACTCTGTTTCTAAAAAACAGATAGATAGAGAGACAGAGAGAGAGAGAGAGAGAGAGAGAGAGAGAGAGAGAGACAGAGACAGAGAGAGAGAGAGAGACTGAGACACAGAAAGAGGAAAAGAAAGGAGAGACAGACAGAGAAAGAAAGTCAAAATGAACTTGTCAAAAAATATAGGTTGATATAAATCCTGAAAGAAAGGCCAAACTGCTGAGGCATATTTTCTTTCTTCTTAGTTCAGTGACTTTTCCCATGTGAATGTATATGATGTGTTAATCATGTATCACATAACTCGTCAATTTTAGATCTATAGTCCAGAGGTTCATAACATAATCTCTGAAGTATGAATCAACCACTGTAATAAAGTTTAGAGAAGTTCAATATCCCAGAAGGATGTACTATATTTTAACCTTTCCACTTGATTCAGACTTTGTCAACTGCTTATCTACTTCCTTATGTTATTATTTTCTTATTTTGAGGATATCACAAAAATTGTGTTATAAAATGGGTGAATTTTTGTGACTGGCTTTCATATTTCCAAAGTCTTTTTTTATTAATTAAAAATGGATTTTATTAGGGAATAATTGCAATAAAATATTTATAAAATGGTCATTTCCCTTTGGTATAGATTTCTAGTAGAAATTTTTTCTTTAAACTTTTTATTTAATACTTTTTAAATAAAAAATACCAATCCATATTCCCACTCTCTTTCTTCCTCTCAGTTCCCTCCCACCCTCTCCATGCCCCTCCTACCCTACCCCATCCAATCCTAAGAGAGGGCAATGCACCCCACCCTGTGGAAAGTCCCAGGCCCTCCCTACTACATTTAGGTTGGGCAAGGTATACATCCAAAGAGAATAGGATCCCAAGAAGCCAGTACATGCAGTAGAGATAAATTCCAGTGTCACTATCAGTGGTCCCTCAGACTGCCCCAACTGTCAACCGTATTCAGAGGAGCTAGTTTGTTTCCATGTTCATTCACTCCCAGTCCAATTGGAGTAGATGAGTTACCATTAGTTCAGGCAAACTGTCTCAGTTGATGAACCCCTCATTGTCTTGATTTCCTTGCTCATACTTTCACTCCTTCCACTCTTCCACTGGATCTTGGGAACTCAGTCCAGTGCTTCAATGTGGGTCTTTGCTTCTGCTTCCATCTGTTGTTGGACAAAGGTTCTGTGGTGGTATTTGTTGTCTGAGTTTTCTGTCCTGTCCAGTCCCTGCAGCCACTAAGCCCCAAAGAGATCACACAGAGGTCTACATTAGTTATAAACTGATTGGCCCATTAGATAAGGCTTATTATTAACTCTTATAACTTATACTAACTCATTGTTTTAAATAAATGCTGATTGGCTGGTAACCAGGCAGGAAGTATAGGCAGGAAAACCAGGCAGGAAGTAGAGGTGGGACAATGAGAACAGGAGTATTCTGGGAAGATGGAAGCTCTTTCCACAGTCCTGCCCAGATCACTGAAGAAGCAATATGTGACCTACCCTGCCAAAAAAAAGGTACCAAGCCACGTGGCTAACATATACTAGGATAATGGGCTGGTATACATTATAAGAGCTAATATGAAGCCTGCGCTAATGGGTCAATCAGTTTATATCTAATGAAGACTTCTGTGTGATTCTTTGGATGCTAAATGGCTATGGGAACTGGGCAGGACAGAAACCCAACAAATAGGCCCTCATGTTATAAAATGGTGCCCACATGGACAATTACATCCACATAAAGCCTGACAGAGCTTGGAAAGTAATACTGGGCAGAAAAGAATAAAGCAAAACATGGCTTCTTGGTAGCAGCAATTTCTCGGGTCTTCCATGCTTGCTAGAGGCAAGCAAGTGCTCTCATTTAAGAGAGGCTTCATCACTCAGCTTTAGCAGAAAAACCTTGCAGCCCTTTTAAGAGGTCCTGCCACAAAATACTTAGTGTTGATGAAAAGCCAACTACATGCTTTTTTGCTTTCAGTCATAGCAGGTAAAAAGCTGTGCTGTTTTAAAAATGCTGGCTTTCTGGGCCATCCTACCAGTGCAAACTCTGATTCTTTGAGGCAGGAGGTCTGGCTACAGAGGGAACATTTGAGTGTTGCTTGTGGGCACATTATTGCAGCTTGCTTGCTGGCAAGGACCTTGAAATACCTTAGAGTTGTGGCAATAAATATGGCTCTGGCCAGTACCTCAGCCATGATGCTGAAATCTCAGAAAGCTAAGAAATGGGCTGGATATATCCATCCAAGCTCCGGCTTTAATCCTCTCCATATTGCTTAGCAAATTAAAGACTCATGTGGTCAGAAAAGAGAGATATATACAGTAAAGAGAGATTCAAAGACAAAAAAAAACCCAAACCTCTAAATGGTTTACACTGTGTAAAAATATGTGCAGGCTAAAGGTTAAAGTCCTTAAAATAAAAAAGAAAGAAAGAGAGTAGTTAGGTGTGGTGGTACACGCCTTTAATCCCAAAGCTTGGGAGGCAGAGGCAGACTGACCTCTGTGAATTAAAGGTGTGGTGGTAGACACCTTTAATTCCATCACTAGGGAGGCAGAAGCAAGTGGATCTCTGTGATTTCAAGGACAGCCTGGTCTACAGAGGGAGTTCCACAACAAAGATACATAAAGAACCTATCCCAAAAAGACAAAAGTTAAAAGTAAAAATAAAAGAAATAGAGATTAAAATAAAATCATGTAAAGATGAAAAATACACAGAGAATCTTGATACTGTATGTTATTATGCTCTCTTTGAATTGTTTGAATGCTCATGAAGGAGCAACAGCTGTTAAAAGATATTTACTTATAAATGCTGCTGGATTAATCCAAGATAGGTATTTTGAAAATACCTTGACTTCAAAATGGAAGTCAAAAGATATGTTACTTTGGAGAAGAGATTTTGCTTTTATTTCCTCTGGAAATGAGAGGCTGTGTATTTATTCTGAGTTAAGAAAAACCAGGTTTGATCAAGGAAGACCACCTGAGAAATCTCTGGTAGGAACAGATGTCCTGGATATCTAAGTTCTACATCCAGAACAGATTCAAGACTGCTGCCTGAGATGATCAAGACTCACAGTATACTTCAGTCAGGACTTGATCATAATTCTAAATTTTCTTTAGGTTCCCATAAGATTATCAGTGCTTCCAACCAGTAGGAAGTAACCTGGAGAATCACCCCTACATTCCCCCAAAATGGACTAATCTCACTCATGAAGATTGATGGAAAAATATTCAATAAAATACTGGCAAATGAAATTCAAGAGCTCATCAGAAAATTTATCCACCATGATCAAGTAGGATTTATTCTAGAGATGCCAGGATGGTTCAACATATGAAAATCTGTCATTGTAATCCACCATATAAACAAACTAAATAATTAAAAATGCACAGAAAACAAAAAAAACCTTGAAAAATACTACAGCCCTTCATGATAAAGGTCTTGGAGAGAACAGTGATACAAGGAATGTACCTAAACATAATAAACTCTATATACAGCAATTCAACATTCAACATTCAACTAAATAGAGAGGAACTCAAAGCAATTCCACTGCTGAAATCAAGAACAAGACAAGGTTGTCTACTCTCTCTATAACTATTCAACATAGTACTTGAGGTCCTAGCTAGAGCAATAAGACAACAATGGAGATCAAGGGAATATAAATCAGAAAAGAAGAAGTCAAACTCTTACTATTTGCTAGTGCTATGATAGTTTTCAAAAGTGACCCCAAAAATTCTACCAAGAACTCCTAAACTCATAAGCACCTTCAGTAATGTAGCAAGATACAAGTTTAAGTAAAAAAAAATCACTAGCCCTCCTTTGCACAGATGATATATTGGCTAAGAAAGAAATCAGAGAAACATTAACCTTCACAATAGCCACAAATAATATAAAAGATCTTGGAGTAACTCTAACCAAACAAATGAAAGGCCTATTTGATAAGAACTTTAATTCTTTGAAGAGAGAAATTTAAGAAGACAATAGAAATTGGAAAGAACTCCCATACTCTTGTGTAGGTAGAAATGACATTGTAAAAACAGCAGTCTTACCTAAAGCAATCTACAGATTTAATGCAATGCTCATCAAAATCCAATGAAAAATTTTCACAGACCCAGGAAGAACAATGCACAACTTTGTATGGAAAAGCAAAAAAAAAGTCAGGATACACAAAACAATCATGTACAATAAAGAAACTTCTGAAGGCATCACAATCCCTGTCTTCACACTCTACTACAGAGTTACAGTAATGCAAACAACCTGGTCTTGGATTAAAAAACAGACAGGAGGACTAATTGAATTGAATTGAAGGCCCAGATATCAATCCACACACCAAGGAGTGCCTGACTTTTGACAAAGAAGCAAAAAATATAAAATGAAAAAGGAAAGATATTCAACAAATGGTACTGTCATAACTGGATATCAACATGTAGAAGAATGAAAATAGGTTTATATCTACCGCCAATCAGAAAACTCAAGCCCAGATGGATCAGAGATCTCAACATAAAACCAACCACACTGAACCTCATAGAGGAGAAAGTAGGAAATACATTTGAATGCACTGGCACAGGAGACCACTTCCTAAATATAACCCTAGTAGTACATACACTGAGAGAAGCAATTAGTAAAAGGACCTCCTGAAGCTGAGAAGCTTCTGTAAAGCAAAAGACAGTCAAACAAATGGAAGTTTATAGAATGGGAAAAGATCTTCATCAAACCCACATCAGAGAGAGGGATGATCTCCAAAGCATACAAGAACTCAAGAAACTGGTCATCAAAATAACAAATAATCCATTAAAAAATGGGTACAGACCTAAACAGAGAACTCTCAAGAGACAAATCTAACATGATTTGTTAAGGAAACGCTCAACATCTTTAGCCATTAGAGAAATGCAAAGCAAAACAACAGTGAGATTCCATCTTAAACCTTTCAGAATGACCAAGATCAAAAACACTAATAACAGCTTATCATAGAGAGGTTGTGGGGTAAAGGGAACACTCCTGCATTGCTAGTGGGAGTGCAACCTAGTGCAGCTGCTTTAAAAATCAGTATGGTGATTTCTCAGAAAATTAGGAAACAGCCTACCTCAAGACCCAGCAATACCACTGTTGGGTATGTACCCAAAGGATGTTCAATCATACCACTTGGACAGGAGCTCAACCTTATTCATAGCAGATTATTTGTCATAAAAGAAACTGGAAACAGCCTAAATGCCCCTCGACCAAGGAATGGTTAAGAAAAATGTGGTGTATTTTCACAATAGAGTACTATATAGCGAAAAAAATGACATCTTGAAATTAGCAGGCAAAGGGATGGATCTGGAAAACATTGTATTGTGTCAGGTAACCCATATTCAGAAAGACGAATATAATATGTAATCACTCATAAGTGACTTTTAGACATAAAGCAAAGCTAGCTTACAATTCATAACCTCAGAGAACCTAGAGAACACGAGACCCTAAGAGAGACATACAGGAATCGAATCTACATGGGAAGTAGAAAAAGATAAGATCTTCTGAATAAATTGGGAGCATGGGGATCATGGGAGAGGGTAGAAGTGGAACAGGAAGGAAGGGAGTGGAGAAAACTATATAGCTCAATAAAAACAATTAAAAAACCCTCATAGGTGTGTCCTATAACTTGGTCTTTAGTTAATTGTTGACAATTAAGATTAGCCATCACACATGCTTTTGAAAACTATAGTTGTTGAGGTATTGATCATTCTCTCTCTGTTTCTCTGTCTGTCTGTCTGTCTCTGTCTCTGTCTCTGTCTCTCTCTCTTTCATGTGTTTGTGTGTATATGATATGAGCAGGCATGTGAGTGGTGTGTGTATGTGAATGTTTATGTGCACTAATTCATGTGTATGCTGAAGACAGAGGATGCCCAGTATCTTGCCTGCTCTCATATTTACTTATTCATCACCTATCTTATTCACTAAAGACAGGCTATATCACTGAACCTGAAGGTTGTCACTTGTTATTTGTGGTCAGTAAGTCCTGGTATCTAAGGGTCTCCCCCTTCTCTTTCCCAGAACTTATGGACATTCACACAAGAATGCTAGGTTTCCACACTTGATGGAAATTTGATCTCACTCCTAATTCTGGCACAGCAAGCATTCTGAACCACTGAGCAATCTTCCCAGCACATAATCATTATTTCAAAACAACTTGTATAGAAATATTGAAGTCACAGCATAAGCATGAAGAACAAAGGTGAATTATATTGTTTGTTAAAAGGGACATAAACATATACATACGCACTTCTATACACTGCAACAATGAAAACATACCTTTTTGAGTTTTATTTGTGACATCTAAACTTCAACTTGGAATCCTATATATGTTCCCAAAGATTAATTATGATAATGAGGCAATTTTATTATTCATTTAATGGGTTAAGTGGAAACAAAATTCATTTCACAAAACCAAGTAGTTTTTCAATATTTATTTTTATTTTATGTGTCTGTATGTTGAATCTACATGTACAGCCATACCACATGAATGTAGGTCCAACAGAAGCCAGAAGATGGTGACAAACCCTGGGGAACTGGTGTTACTGATGGTCCTCTGGAAGAGGAGTTAGTGTTCCTAAATGCTGAGCCCATCTCTCCACTCCAAGTACTGTCTTGGTAGATCCTTAAGAAAAAGGTTATTCAGAGGCTTTGTTCCCTGTGTGAGACCAGCACCCATACTGGTATCCCAAAGACAAATATGGGGCCAGGATTTTTACACAGTTCCAATCCTGAACACTTTGCCTACACTTTACTACAAAGTCTGCAAAAAGCAAAATGACAACTTCTTCAATACTTGCAAAACCATGTTGTTATCAATAGTAGGCTTCTTATTGATCTTGCATCCACAAACAACCTCTGAGACACCTTCATTCTCTGGGGGAGTATGTGAGTTTGAAGTGTGTAATTATATATTTTTATATGTGTGTGCTCATTTGTGATGGGGGTTACACCTATCACGGCAAGCATATGGAATGTCAGAGTACAACCACCAGTGCTAATTTTCACCTTCCACACTTCATGGGGCAGGATATCTTTTGCTGTGCACAAGGCTAGTTGGCCTGCAAGTTTGCGATTCTGTCTCAGACACACATCTGACTTGCTTATACTGGGCCTACAGGTGCTCCTGGTTATAGCTTTGATATGGGTTCTGGGCATCCAAGCTATAGGAGGAAGTCTTGACAGTCCAGTAATTTACCCTTGGAGTTGTCACCTCAGCCATTGTATTTTTTGGCATAACTTTTAAACTCTAAAAATGAATTTCTAAAATTCCTATGTGTACTCATGTTGGCTATATTAATTTTACTGGGTTTATTTTTCAGTTTAATTTTTGGCCTGAAGTACAACTAAATTCAAAGAGTTATTAATTCTCCGAGAGAAAAAAAATCCCGAGAATTGACGAATAAGACTGAAAAGCTGTCTTGTCACAGGATGAAAGACCCTTCCCCAAAAGCCTCCCTTGCTGTGATGCACTGGAGGAGGTCCATGTATCAGTCCTCCCCACTTCAGCTACTCCCCTTTCTTCTTCTTCCCAGATTTAGCTAATGTCTGGCAGCAAAAGAGGCAACACTTTGTGATGACAAACATCACAGTTACCACATAGGCAAGCAGGAATCCAAGCACGTCCAGAGAGTGGTACTGGTACCAGGTGAGGTCATGCGCTGCCACACGAAGGTGCTTGGCCCCTTTGTGGTGCATGACAGACTCAATGCAGAAGACAGCTCTGTCCAGGGGCTTCACTGTCTGATCGTGGTGGATTCTTGATAGCCGCATGGCGTTCTCCTTATAGCTAAAGACATCAACATCAAAAGCCAATTAGTTTACTTAAGTTCTTCAAGCCTAAGAAAATTTCCGGAAAGCATCATGAGACTCAGTAAATGCCACAGAGGAACACTAGGTACAGTGTGGTTTTACTGGGTGGGACATGTTTGAAGGTTTGCCTGAAAGTTGGTATTTTCCAAGAAACTCTTTGCAAAACTGAAATGGGAAATCATTTTGGGCCAGAAATCTTTCCAGTAGAGCAAATTATTAGTAAGGTATCTCAGGCACTGCAAGGTAGGTGGCTCGACACAGTTTGAAGATGGTTGCATTGATGCTTTTGAGAAGGCATTGTGTCTTTGAAATCTCAATAAAATACCACTAATGTTGAAAAGTGGGTAAACTGGCAAAAAGAGACATACTTTGCACAAGAAGGCATAAGATGTAGTTCATTGTTAACTTTCCTAGAATGTTTGAGGATCTGAATTCCCCCCTTAGTACTTCTAAGGGAGACACAATCATAGTAATTACAAGGATGCAGAGGATGTGTTAATTTTTAATTATTTTTTATATTTACGTATTCTAATTGTTTTTCTGTGTGCCATGGGGGTGTGGTATGTACCATGCAGCACACGTGGAGGTCAGAGGAAAATTGTGTGAGTCTATTCTCTGTCTTTACAATGCCATTTTGTGTTTGAAGTCAGGATAACAGGCTGATCAATGGTAGGAGTCTGTGGAGGAATTACTGATATAAGTGATTGTTGGAGTGTAATTCAGTACAGCAGCTACTAAAAGAGCATGACTAATTACCCTGGTTTGAGCTTTCTTGCCGTAATAATATTTCAAAATGATAACATAAGACCCATGGTTTTTGCAGCACTGATTATGATAATTGGGAACTGGAATTGACTATGGTGCCCATAGTGAAATGATGGATAAATAAAATGAGGCATAAAAGAATAGTTGACTATCATTTAACAATTATAAAGAAGGAAATCTTATTTTTACAGTATAAGGGATGGAATCACAGGATATTACATTAATTTGTACAAACTCGGCCCTAAATGAAAACACTGTCCATTCTCAACAGTGCGTGGAACCACAGAGTTGATTTCATAGAAGAAGAGGGTAGCAGAGTAGTAACTGGAGTCTAGGAAGGGAGACAGTGAGTGGAGATAGAGAGAGGTCAGCTAATATACGTTCTGCCACTGGCGGGCAGGATAGTGCTCTGCAGTGAGTCCATGACCGAACTACAAGTCACATGTCTTATTGTAGCTGTGGAATATGGAAGAGCAGACTTTCAGCATTGACAAAAACAAAATTCTAAATGCTTAAGGAGATGGAAATGGTAAGTTATTTGGTCATTACATATTATACATATATATGCATATATATTCATAATTATTCTACTTTGGGCCATGAGTCAGGATTATTTAAACAAAAAATATGAGTTTCAGAAATTTTAGTCATTGACTTGTAATATTTATTGCTTTTTAGGTTCATTATTCTGTTTGTTGATTTGATTCTATTTATGGAAATTGTGTCCTATCATTTAGCAAGAGAAAATGTTTTACATAATCAAATTAGTCTAAACTAATTTCTTGTAGAGTAAGTATATAGGGATACTTTGCAGTTATGATTGACAGTAAAAGCTCATTCCACAGTGGTTAAGGTAGTTTCTTGTTGTTTTCAAACTCAGACTAAAAATAAGAAGAATGCTACTGTAACCTTGGAAAGAACTTATCCGACTAGTACCCACTAGAATAAATTCACTGTACTCACGAAGGGTCATTAGTGACTGTCTTCACTGCATGGAGCAAATCTGTGCTGGCCATTGTGAGAAAGTGCAGTCGAACCCCTGGTCCTTTGGGCTTCATGTGAACAACATTATCAAACTGGTCTCCAAACAAAGGAATGCCCACCACAGGGATCCCACGGTAGATGGCCTCATAGATGCCATTGGTGCCACCATGAGTTATAACAGCTCTGGTTTTTGGGTGACCTAGCAAGAGGAGAAATTAAGGGCAAATATTAAATAAAAGTCTGAGAAAGAAAATAAGAGGCAGAGGAAAAATGCACAGAAAGGGAAAATGTTCTCTAGACATCATCATTATACCCATGGAACAGAACTGAATTCTTCCCATGTCTTTGACCACAGAGCACAGCAAGTCCACAGGGATTAAGTGAAGGTCACATAGAGTACGTGGAATTTGGAAAGTAGAAAGATTTTGTTCAGTGGAAAAAAAAAGCATGGATCCTTCCAAGTGGAGCAAACAGCATGTGCAAGTTCAGGAGAGAATGTTCTCCTAAGAAAACAGTGCAACCCCTGTTCTAGATTGGTTGGCTTCAAGTAGTAGTGGTTAAATGCTTGTTTTGATGGAATCAGACTGAGTACAGGCAATACTTTATCACATTTAGGACCATTTCATTTTGTGGGGTCTTTGGGGGGAGCACGGTAAATAAGGCCTTCTTTATGAAAGAATACCATTCCCGCTGACATTTAAAATTTCCCTAAAGTAGGGGAAAAGGAAGATGTTAAGTTTTAGAAATAGGACCTGGAGAGAAATTAGAAGTGACTTAAATGTATCTGAACAGTAATTAGCGTGGCTGTGACAATAGATTCTCTTATCTCGAATGTTACTACTCAGAATAGTCACATCAGTTCTTTATCCATTTCCCCCAGGACTAGATCACAGTTGTCATAAATGCATTAGTGTGGACATCCCCCCTCCTGAACAGCCATTCCTATGTCTCAGGTGTCTCCTGATGCTTACCGAGAAGGTCATTCTGGGGAATCCATTTGTACAGCCGAGTGTTGGATCCCAAGTTGTCTGGCTTCTTGCCTTCAAATCACCAAAGAACCTGTTAAGATGAAGCTAGCCTCGTATTGCTTTGGTCAAATGTCAAGTTACTCCTGCTAGATTTCCAGAGAGATTAAGAATCAATGGAGATAAATGCCAGTCCCTAAGGACCAGGCAGTGAGGATGGATGATGGGAACCATGAAGAACTGCTACAGCAAGGCTGCAAATTCTCTTCACTGTCCTTCAGTTAATCTCATGCTTATCCGAGTTTCAGCCTGGCACCTTAACGTTTAGTCAAAAGCATCTTAGACAGTGTTATGTCAGGTTATGTGAAGCAATAGTTAAGAAATGTGTGAACGTAATTCCAGTTCAACAATCCATCAAAGTTACTAATATATACCTGTTTTTTTCCCCCAGGATATATTTATAACAGTTTTTTTTCAAATTAACTATAACTATTTGCCAATAGTATTTGATTTTGTTCATTTATAATTCCTTAATCATAGGTATTTTATTAGTTTAGGCCCCCAAAGAGTGACTGTGTACATGATCACTTCAAGAGCATTTCCTTGAGTTACCCCCTTTTCCAACGTTAACAGGCTCAGTTCCTGAAGGTGGACTTGGCAGTTGGAAAATCCTGTTCTACCCAGGTTTTTGATTAGCAGGGGAATCATACAGCATAGGCCCATTTTCAATGCAGGTGATCACACTTGTTCATGATTATACAGGAATGGAACATTATGATACATACTCCATTTTAAAATTTTGTGTTTTATTTATTTTGTCTATTTTCCATTTATTGAAAAAAGATGTTCTCATCCATAAAATTTATTCTATTTTTGGATTCCCATTGCATGGCTCTTAGATGTTCATCCCTACACCTCTCTTTGAAATCGTCTCAGTGAGGATGCCACACTGAGGCACTGTATCTCACCTTCTGTGGAATCTAGGCAAGACCTGCTGCAATCACATTGGCCCTTTCTTCTGTTAGGGTACCCACCATGGACCCCAGGGAAAACACCACCACACCATGTTCTCTGGAAGACTGGACGAAGTCTTCTATTTCCTGTTGATGAAATATCAGCCCATCACAAGGAGTAGCAACACTAAACAAGCTGCATACAAACTGATACCAACCTACACAGGAAGGAACTGAGCAGCATTAGAAATGATCAGAGTGGTAGGTGCTTTAAAACTATTCACAGCCACATGTAAGATGTAAGTTGTAGTCAAGTGTATAGTTACAGCTCTCTGTGTTACACATTCATACAAACAGTTCATTTCATCTTGAAAGGCAAGATTTGTTGATATTTAATTCTAAGTTCTCTTTCTCTCTTCCTAGTCCTTTGGCCACCAAATACCTGTTTTCTGTTTCTATTATTTTGACCAATCTAGAGAGTTCTCATAAAGTCTTCTTATTTTATTTCCGTCTTGCTCATTAGCTAGTTTATTTATTTATTTATTTAACCGTTATTAAGGTCATACCAGGTGTTTCTATACCTGGTATTAAAAACAATTGTTTTTAATTGTTTTTATTCACACACTCTATAATTTTTATAATAATTCTAGTGATATCTAGGTTGTTTATTCCTTTCTTAGTTACTGCTCTAATGTTGTGAGGACTCACCATGATTAAGGAAACTTTTAAAAGAAAGCATTTAATTAGGAGTTTGTTTCAAGTTTCAGATGGTTTGTCTGTGCGCATCATAGTGGGGAGCACCATGGCAGACAGGCATGGTACTAGAACTGTAATCCATAACTACACCCGTACAATAAGAGGCAGACAGACAGAAAGAGGCCAAGCATAGTTTGTCCTTTTGAAACCTCAAAGCCTACATCCAGTGACACATTTCTCTAACTAAGCCACACTTCCTAATCCATCCTAAACAGTTAACCAATTGGGAACCAAACTTTCAAGTATATGAGCCTATGAGATCATTCTTATTCAAACCACCATGCATGCTTCCCTTCAGGAATAGTGCTGCCATGCGCATCCTTGAGTTGCTATCTCATTGAAGTCCTATGTTCAGTTCTTTTACATACATTCTCAGGAGTAGAACTCATGGATCACCAATCTATTACTAATTTTGTTAAGACTGTTCATTATGTTTTTATTTGTGTTCTTTCTAATAGATGTCAGTTTCATTGGAAAGAAATCAAATTTACTATGTGCTGTCAATTTATGTTACTGTGTCTGTTCCTGAGAATATATGTGTAAGTATGTATGGTTAGGGGTGTGTTCTCACTTGTGTGATTGGTCAAGAAAGTAAATGTAGCCATTGTGAATTATGAAAATAAATGTTTCTTTGTTGACACTCCATCTATTTTCTCTCAAATCACTTTCTAGAGGACTTGGTTTTTGGATCTTTCTCTATATTAGGTATTTGTTCGATCTTTTTACACTCAAATATAAGAAAATGTTTATCTAAAACAGAACCTTGCTGAATTAATTTAATCCAAATGATAGTCACAGTCTTGTGATGGAATAGATACAGGTGTTTCTACTGGCGACTTGCTTAACTAATTCCTGTTTTTCTCTGAGTTTGATGAACATTCTGAAGGTATAAAAGATAATCAGCCTTGCTGAAAACGCAAAAAAAAAAACCTGAAGCAAACAAATGGGACTATATTTACCTTTGGCAGAGGCTTGGCAGGTCTACAGTGGAGTCCTCCAACGAAATCAAAGTTTGGTAAGACAGGGTGGCAAAATTCTAAATCCCAGTAGGTTCGAATGAGCCATACATCTGCCTTCCCTATCATCTCAACGAGTGTTGTGGGTTTTCCTAAAGAGGAATAAGGACAGCCAAGGTAGGACAGGTGACAAAAATGTCAGGAGAAGATGAATATGCCAGCTGGTCTTCTGGAAATAATTTTGATAATGTAGCTGGAATTTTTTAAAAGTATATTGCTGGACTATAAAACATATATTTACATATTTATCTATGCATCAATTAATCTATATCTGTGCGTATAATGTTTGATACAAGTTTGTAATATGTTTCTCATAATTATGCTTAGATATATGTAAACTCAAAAGTCATTGTGGAAGTGACCTGGGAGGAGATCCCACATCTGTAACACACTTTGGAAATTCATGATTATCAAATACCTAGATAAGCCATTTAAATATAATAAATTCTGTCACCTGTGATACCTGTTTGTCATACTCAGGGAAACACTTTTTCCTGCAACTCTCCATCCTGTTTGCCCTGTTTAGCTGTCTGAACCTTGATGTGTGCTTCTCTAAGTGAACTGAGAATTTTGAGCTGTTTTGTTTTGTTTTGAGATTTTCTGGTGTAGCCCAGGGTGGCTCCTGCGTCGCTATGTAGCCATAGTTGATCTTGAACTCCAAATGCTCTTCCTCCACAATGCAGCTGCTGGGATTACAGGTGTGAGCTGCCATGACCAGTGTAAAAATTCATAGGGATTCTGTTTTAGCACTTTATTTTGAGACAGAGTCTCCCTGTATAGTCCAAGATGATCTCAAAGAGAATTTTAGGTTATTCCTGTGTTCCTTGTCCTCATGCTGCTCTTGATTTATGATTGATTAAGAAATAGTTATGCATTTATAAGTTTGTTTGCAGATAATAAAAGTAACAAGTCTCCAAGCATGGAAAGATAGATGTTTGATCATTAGATATATTTTAAAACACTGTAATTAGTAATCATTGTTTCTATACTTCAGTGGTATATATTTTAAATACAATCTCAGCCCTTCTCATAAAGAAATAAATCTGAATTCTTCAAATCTTAAATTTATATGTTTTCTGTGCTTCAGAAATAGTAAGTGTATTCACAGTGGTACAGAAATTTAGCAGGTGAAGTGAAAAAGTATTTCAAATATAAATATAATGTATATAGAGGGAAAAGTACTCAAAGCTATGCATACCCCTAAGCTAGAAATATTTAATAGTTCCTAGGCAATATGTACAAATCATGAGCACATGAAATTTTTAAAAAAGCTATTGTTTTAGCGAGTAGTGAAATGAATTAGGTGGTAAAAGTGTTTACAACGAAAGCTCAATGAATTGAGTTCAGTCTCCATGCATGTCTCAACACCTGAATTGATAATGACAATCCAAATAAAGGTGGAAGTAAAACCTCATCAAATGTGAATCTGACACACACACACACACACACACACACACACACACACACACACACACACAGCACAAACTCCCCACCCATGAGACAAGTGTGCAATGCGTAATCATGTTAATAACAATAATGGTAGCAATGGAATGATGATGGTGTTGTCACCACACAAGACAACCTATGGTTTTAAAACATGAGGTATAAAAAACACCTTCAGTAGTGTAGCAGGATACAAGATCAACTTGAAAAAAATCAGTAGCCCTCCTTTACACAGATGAGAAATGGGATAAGAAAGAAATCTGAGAAACATCATCCTTCACAATAGCCACAAATAATAGAAAAGGTCTTAGAGTAACTCCAACCAAACAAGTGGAAGACCTGTATGACAAGAACTTTAAATCTTTGAAGAAAGAAATTGAAGAAGACACCAGAGACTTTCCTCCTCTCCCGGCCTGAGGGAGCCGCTCTCCGCGCGGTGCATTCTGGGCATCGAGGTCGAGCCCGCGGCCGCCGCCGTCGCCTTAGGGGAGCGAGAAGAGGCCGCGACCAGGCAGAAGATGCCGGAGAGGAGTCGACTTGCCAGCCGCCGCCAGTGAGGCCCGCCCACCCGTTCGCCTGGCCCCCTGCCCCGTTCACCATGCAGCCTGCTTCTGCAAAGTGGTACGATCGAAGGGACTATGTATTCATTGAATTTTGTGTTGAAGACAGTAAAGATGTTAATGTAAATTTTGAAAAATCCAAACTTACTTTCAGTTGTCTTGGAGGAAGTGATAATTTTAAGCATTTAAATGAAATTGATCTTTTTCACTGTATTGATCCAAATGACTCCAAGCATAAAAGAACGGACAGATCAATTTTATGTTGTTTGCGGAAAGGAGAATCTGGCCAATCGTGGCCTAGGTTAACAAAGGAAAGGGCAAAGCTTAACTGGCTTAGTGTGGACTTCAACAATTGGAAAGACTGGGAGGATGATTCAGATGAAGACATGTCCAATTTTGACCGTTTCTCTGAGATGATGGATCACATGGGTGGCGATGAGTATGTAGATTTACCAGAAGTAGATGGAGCAGATGATGATTCACAAGACAGTGATGATGAAAAAATGCCAGATCTGGAGTAAGGAATATTGTCAACGCCTGGATTTTGAGAAAGAAAAATAACTTCTGCAAGATTTCATAATTGAGAAAATTCCTGAGTTGATAGCTCTAAAGGCAGATGCTGTATTTGCCTCCTTTAACCCATTTTTCAACTTGTTTTTTTTTTTAAATTTTTTTTTAAAGGCTTCACTAAGGGTTGATAATGTACCATTGTATGGGGCAATTTAAGTCAGGTAAGACAATATCCTTATGCATGAACATTTCCCAGGATTCCATGAAGCAGTTGAGATCCTAGGCAACTGATACAACAGCTCTGATGAACATATTTCACCTAAGTCTTCTTTCTTCATAACACAGCTACTTACTTACATGTTAGGAAGCTCTCAGCTTAGGGAAAGTCCCTAGTTTAGATCCCAGACCATGAACTTGAAGGGGGCGGAAACAAATTGGCTGATTCTTCAACTGATACCCTGACATTCTTCCAGTGTACCTTTCAGAATTATTCCACTAAAGTTTATTTTTCAAAAAATGTACTTACATTATTGTATGTGATCACTTGTCAGTGTTCAGGTGTATTTTAGCTAAAACTAGTGAATGCCCTAACTTAGATGGTTTTTGAAGCCTATACATTTGATATTATTTGGCCCTTTAAGCTCTTAACATCTCTTAGCATGGAGGACGAAGAAAGCTGTACATTGTTGCTTGAGAGTCTGTACATTTTTAGACCAGATTTGTATTTGCACTGTCAGTATGGCAAATGAGTGGAAAATGTTAATACACTATTGGATTTTTTTATTTCCTGTTTTGATTTCAGCTTATGCCCTGACTGGAAAACCTCAATTTATGTTCATGACAGTGGGGATTTTTTTAAATGTCTACATTCTTTCTAATAAACTGTTGGACGATTTCTTGGCTCTCCTTCTAAGTGTCTGGTTTGCTGTAATTTCATGTATTTTCCACTTACTGGAATGGAGTTCTTATTTTTTTGAGGGAAGACTTTGGGACTGCTCCCGTTTGAAAAAGAGTCTGTACTGTCACAGGAAACCCTAAAGTGGATCTGTAATGGGAACTGTGGATGCACTGTGAGCAGCTGGAAAAGTGTTGTATGACTTGACTGAAATAAAACTAAATGTGTTGTCCTCCTTTAAAAAAAAAAAAAAGAAGACACCAGAAAATGGAAAGAGCTCCCATGCTCTTGGGTAGGTAGAATTAACACTGTAAAAATGGCCATCTTTTCATAAGCAATCTACAGATTCAATGGAATGCCCGTCAAAATCTATGCAAAGTTCTTTACAGATCTTGAAAGAACAACGTTCAACTTCATATGGAAAAGCAAAAAATCCAGGACAGCCAAAACTATCCTGTACAATAAAGGAACTTCTGGAGGCAAAACAATCCCTGACTTCAATCTCTACTGCAGAGCTACCATACTGAAAATAGCCTGGTATTGGTATAAAAACAGATAGAAAGACCAATGGAACCGAATAGAAGACCCGGATATCAATACACACCTAGGAACACCTGACCTTTGACAAAGAAGCATAAAATATAAAATGGAAAAAAGAAAGATATTTAACAAATGGTGCTGGCATAACTGGATATCAACATGCAGAAGAATGGAAATAGATCCATATCTATCACCATGTACAAAACTCAAGTCCAAATGGATCAAAGACCTCAACATAAAACCAAGCACACTGAACCTCACCGAAGTGAAATTGGGAAGCACACTTCAATGCATTGGCACAGGAGACCACTTCCTAAATATAACTCCAGCAGACAGACACTGAGAGAAACAATTAATAAATGGGACCCTCTGAAACTGAGAAGCTTCTGTAAAGCAAAGGACACAGTCAACAAGACATAATGGCAGCCTACAGAATGGGAAAAGATCTTCACCAACCCCATGTTGAACAGAGAGCTGATCTCCAAAGTATACAAAGAACTCAAGAAATTGGTCGCCAAAAGAGAAAATAATCCAATAAAAATTCTAAACAAAGTACTCTCAACAGATGAATCTAAAATGGCTAAAATACACTAAATGAAATGCTCAACATCCTTAGTCATTAGAGAAATGCAAATCAAAATAACTCTGAGATTCCGTCTTATACCTGTAAGAATGGACAAGATGATAAACACTGATGACAACTTATGCTGGAGAGGATGTGGGGTAAAGGGAACACTCCTTCATTGCTGGTGGGAGTACAAACTGGTACAACCCCTTATACATATCAGTATGGCAATTTCTCAGAAAATTAGGAAACAACGTACCTCAAGATCCAGCAATACTACTTTGTGTATATATCCAAAGGATGCTCAATCATACCACAAGGACATGTGTTCAGCTATGTTCATAGCAGCATTATGTGTCATAGGCAGAACCTGGAAAAATCCTACCCTTGACCAAGGAATGGATAAGGAAACTGTGGTACATTTACACAATGGAGTACTACACAGCAAAAAAAAATGACATCTTGAAATTAGCAGACAAGTGAATGGATCTAGAAAATATCATCTTGAGTAAGGTAAGGGGTCAAGAAAGATAAATATGTACACACTCATTAGTGGCTTTTAGACATATAGCAAAGAAAAACCAGCCTATGAATCACAATTTCAGAGAAACTAGACAACAAAGAGGACCCTAAGAGAGACATCCATGGATCTAATCTACATGGGAAGGAGAAAACTACAAGATATTTTGAGTAAATTAGGAGCATGGGAATCATGGCAGAGGATAGTAGGGGAGGTAAGCAGAGAAAAATACATAGCTCAATAAAAACAATTAGAAAAATAATAAAAAACAAAAAGGAAAAAATATGAGTTAAAAACTTGTTGATCTGTTACATTTTAGAGAAATTCTCAAAGATTTGTTTTCTGTGTGTGTGCCTTTCTGAAGAGTCCCTCGCAAGTCATAGACAAGGCTCTGCAGTTGACATTGGGACCCAAGGTTTTCTACAGTGCTTTGATTTTGGCATATAATTTCATAGCCTTTTCACCATTTTACTTAGGAGAGAGAAATCCTTCTGTTGTCAATCCTGTTGCCTCAAGTTCCCCTTGAATGACACAGCAAATTTTGAATGTACCAATCCTAGTTGACCATGGCACTTACCGAAGACTTCACTGTAAAACTGATCCCACCTCTTCTTGTTATATGTTTGGAACCAAAAGTCAAAAAAAGCACATAGATCAGATTTTTTACCCTCTCCATGAATGTCATTCGATCACTCAATTCTGACATAGCAACAGGCACATAGAAAGGAGGCAGTGGCAGTCCTCCACTGTACTTTTCATGTGTGTACCCAGGAAGGAATCGGAGACTGTACACCAGGGGTATCTTGAGAATCTCAGCCAGCAGGACACCACAGGGCACGAAGCGATCTGCTACTATGACAGCAAAGCTTGTATTTTGTAATTTTGTCCTGAGTTCCTTGTTAAAAACTACATCTTTGCAGAGACTTTCAAAATAATTTGAATCTTCCCAAACCACTTCTTGCAACATTACAAAGTATCCCCAAAATGATTGCTTTGGCAGCTCATAAACACTTTTCCTGATTGTTTCCATGTAAAGTGCCGCCACATCATCCAGGGAAGTGGATGTAGGGTATGTCTCAAATTCAATAGCTGATATGTCTCCAACCTCATATGAAATGGAGGCTGAGGGTATCAGAACTGTCACTTCATGGTCCTTCTTCACAAGTTCATCTAGGATTATCCTTAAGTTGAGCCAATGACTGTATTCCATTGGCCACACCAGCACCTTCCCAGTACTCCCAGATCCAAAGAAGCCACTCAGTTGTAGCAGGAACAAAGCTGCTGTCATTTTCACAGACGTCTTGGTTAGGCTCAGTGTTGCTCTTCAACGCTGTATAGCTCTTATAGATATAGAAAGAGTAATAATTAGTTAAAGTATAACTTGTGCCCACTAAAGCTAATACGCATGAGACAGTCACAGTCACAAGATGACAAGTGCCAAATCCAGGAGGCAGATGTGAACATCTGAAACGACTACCGATTCTCAGTGACCTTGAATGTATAATGTACTTGGAGAAGAGAGGAAAGTAAGATCTCCCCTCTCCTCTTTCTCCCTCTAACGTAGCATCCTTGATAAGAACATGCAGTAAAGTAATATTTGCTGAATCACGTTTTTTAAATATCACAGTTCAGGGTGTCTCCATATGAATGTTGTCATGAGCAATCATTTATCATATTATTTAATGATTTTTAAATAAATGGTTCAGAGGCCTATAGTATAACCTCAAAATTATAAACCCTGTATTTAAAATTAGAGATGATTTTATCCTAGATACAACCCCTGTTCTTTTAGCTTTTCCATTGGTTCCTGCTCTGCCCAACCAGGAATCTACTTTCTTGTAACTAGTCATGCTGGCAAGAGTGAATATAATCTGAGACACTTCTGCTTCCCTCTGTGACTATCAGAGTACGGAAAGAAAGGATGCCCCAAATTAGAATTTTTCTGGTGAACTTCTGCTGGGAGAAGAAATGCCTGATGCCTTGGGTGTACCCAGGAGGAATCTGTCTTCAAAGGTCATTTACAGACTAGGTAAACTAATGCTATTGTAGAGCGTAGGAACTAAGGTAATATTGGGCAAGAAACCACATAGCAGCTGAACTGCTTACCTATGCTTATGTCTTGTCTGAATCTCAAAGATGGAGTTTCTTATGGGTGATGTCTCTCCTCCTAAAGTGATCACAATAAATAAATCTGCTTCTGCTTTTTTCTAGATTTCACAATTAATTTGACTCCTTTGTTTGGCTTATTTAGGTGTGTGTGTGTGTGTGTGTGTGTGTGTGTGTGTGTGTGTGTGTGTCTAACTGCCTTGTTTGGACACACAGGCTGTAACTCCTTAGTCATGTAACACTCTTGTTTCCTTATTCTGAGGTTTTTCACGTAGCTGATATAAAATTCCTGGTGCTTTATTGGCTTTGATGCTTGTAAGGCTTTAAAGTGCTGTCATGTCATAGGAGGTAGAGAAGGTTCTTTTATGTGATGTTAAATCTATTTCGTAATAGTAAGTCCACACTTCCTCATTTCTAATTTGATAGACGCTAACTTTATTCCCACTTTTGACTACTAATTAATACTTTTTACTAATATTCATGTTCCATCTTTTCTCCTGTTTTACATTTTGATCTAAACCCTTCTCTGAGTCCACGAACTTTTGCAGACATCACCAAGAGCATAATCCCTTGTTTGCAAGATATCAGTCAAAAAAGACTGAGTGCCTCTCTGCTTAAGCTCCAGGGTTGTGCTACTCACAGCACAAACAGAACATGAGCTCTTGTAAACTATGAGCTCTGCCTCCGAGATCAAAGGCAAGAGGACTTAATGAGCTGGGAGAAAAACAGGGGAAGTGGTTCATTCTCCTGTGCAGAACCGAGTTTATCCTGACCTGTGTTCTCTGGGAGCCCCAAAGTGGGCTAGATGACAGAGTTGCTCTTGAGTGGACAGCAAAGAATTGGACACCCGATGGAACTTGTGGCCAGTCCTGGGGTGAGCATGAAAGTGAGTGCAGCAGGGAGCCCTGGAGCTGGGCAGGCAGGAAGCTTGGGTGGAAACTTTTTGCAGGGCAGGACCTCCCATGAGTTTAATAAGCTGGGATGGGGACCTGGGAAATGAGGATCCACTAGTCTGTTGCTGTGTTATGGTTCAGGTTACCTGTAAGGGGTTTGTTCTTACTTCTCTTTGATATGTAACTACTGGAGCCCGATTCTCAGGATCTTTAAAGTCTGCAGAAGTGGTAGACTGTTTCCAAGGAGCTGCTTGGGTTGCCATCCACAACACAGTACAACAGTTTCCTGATGTCTCCCCTTGCCTGTTATTCTTTCTCTCTTGATTATAACCAGGTAAGAGGGTGAAGCCCTATCGCCTTGTTCTTTGGGGTGAGTCTGAATGACGTTAAACATAATGATGCTGAACATACTTCCAGATGTGTATTGGCCACCTGCAGTTATTTCATGGAAAATGTCTATTCAGATCCTTGGATAATCTCTCCATATTCTATATGGAGTCATGCCATGTGTTTTACTGCCCACCTTTTTTTTTTCACACAATGCTTAAGTGTTTTTTCCCTTTTGTCTCCTTTCTTTCCTCCTCCTTTTCCTCTTCCTCCTCCTTCTCCTCCTTCTAATCATCTACCTTCTTGTCCTTTGTTATATGACGTTCAAATGCATTCTCCAGGTTCGCAATTCTTTTCCAGGTTTGTGATTTGTCTTTTCAGTACTTTCAATGATTTTTTTATGAGAGAAATTTTCATTTTTATGAGTCCAATTAATGAAATTTACCTTAACTGCTTCTGTATTTGAGGTCAACAGAAAAACAAATTTCAAAATTAGTAACAAATATATTTCACACCTTTATTAACATCTTATATTTATAATTCTTATCTTTACTTCTTAAAACACTTTAAACAATCATTTGTATATATTCACTTATATATGATCATTTGAGAGGCAGAGGCCTCTGAATGTGAGTGACAGTTCTGTGGCTTGGGCAGACTGTATGCCCATGGCAATGGGACCAAAATTGATCCCTAGTGCATGAACTAGCTATTTGGAGCCCATTTCCTATGGAGGGATACCTTACTTAGTCCTGATGCAGGGGGAAGAGGGTTGGTACTGCCTCAACTTGATAAACAAGACTTTGTTGACTCCCCATGGGAAGCTTTACCCTGTCTGAGGAGTGGATTAGGATTGGGTCAGGGGAAGGTATGCGGGGAGTGGGAAGAGAGAAAGGGGGAATGGTGGTTGGTATGTAAATTGGAAAAAATCTTTTTAAAATAAAAATAAAAAATATCAACAAAGAGTAAGAGGTCCAATTTTAATTTTTCATGCCATATTTTTCTAAAGAGCTTTAATAAGAAAAAGGAAAAATAAAACAAACAAACAAAAACAAACCCTGTAAGTTTGACATGAACAGTTTTGTGATCCTTGTCAAATATCAACCAAATTGTAAATTTTTCTATGCTTATTGTTGTGCCCAAGTTGAGGCCCCCCCCCCCCCCCAGAGAGACACCATTGGAATCTAGTCAAGTCCAGAATGCAAAAGCAACGTTTATTCAGCATGCAAATTCAAACCAGCTAGCTGGGAACTCAAAGCCACCACTCAAGATGCAGAGCAGTGGGAAGAGCCCCCTTTCCTCATTTGAGCTTGACATATATAGGCAAAAACTGTAAGCCAGGTTTACTTAGAGTCAAGGGGCTTAGTTTTGCTGATTATAGGGTATAGACACCTTCTGTATGCCTTCTTCCTCCTTTTAGCAGCTACTTCTGCTTCTGTGCATGCCCCCGCCCTACTCCCAAGAGGTTATTTACTGCTCTTGTCTAGACCACAAAGCTGAGTGTCAACAGGGGGCTAGCTGCTAGGGACAGTTGGTTTGCACTTTTGCAAAGGATCCTGTTTCCGGTTAACTTTTGATGCTGCAAGGTTCTTGAACCCAGTACCTTAACCAGCTCCTGATCAAACAAAGTTTCTTAAAAATTTCCATGTCCTTACACTATAACTTTAGCACTCACACACAAAATATAATAAAGTATAAAAGCAACAAATATAAACACCAAACATTAAGAGTCATTTAATGCTAAAATGTGACTTAATATGATTATGTGTACATGAACACTGTAGATATTACCTATGTCAAATAACATAATACATTGATACAACAGTTTTGTTTTAAATAAAGATAAAAAGCTAACCTAGATAAAGAAACAAATAGGAAATGCTTATTTCCCAACATTGTAACAATGAAAATGAAATCCTTGATATACATACATATATACATATATATATATAAATATGTTTATGTGTGTATAACAAATTATCTATCTATCTATCTATCTATCTATCTATCTATCTATCTATCTATCTATCTATCT